ATTAAATCCTACCTCTTAAGAATTAGGTTTGAATTTCATTCCATTCATCTACTTAATTTTCTTTTTGTTTTCTTTAATGCATCCTTTAAGAAAGGGAAACAATAGCTTCTATGGCACATTTTTTTTAATGTTAATTGAAATTTACATGACTGGTCAAACAAGAAAAATAATTACATGGATATCAATTAATGAGGTAGGTTTGAATTACTTATCAATTAATGGTTTCTACATGAATTTCAATTTAATAATAAAAAGAAAGAGAAAACAACAGAGTTGTTATAACTGAGCGTGAATTCTAGTTCAGTTAAATGAATACTGTGCAGGTATTATTGTAAATTTTTTCATATATATATATAAGTCGGTCCAATTGAAATTCGATTATTGAACCAGTGCAAGTTTCAAAATTGATCGTATAAAGAACTAGTATAAAATTAATTAATTAACTAAATCATTTTAAAATTGGAAAGATCAAGTATAACTGGTTAAAATGATTTACATGAATTTATTTTTAAATAAAAAACTTAATATTACGATGATTGATAAAATTCTAATCAATATTATGATGATTGATTGTTATATCTAGGGGTGAGTGTGAACCAGGTTGGTACGAGTATAATTTTGTCCATACTTGATCCAAAGTTTCGTTGGGTTATTTGCTCTAACTTGAATTAAACCTAGTAAATTAGGAACAAAATCTGGTCAACCAGATCTATTATTGTTGTATTATATTAATTGTAATACTGTGTATAGTTAAAATAGGTAATATGAAAAATTAAAAAGATATAATTTATAATATGAAAATTTAAAAGATATAATTTATCATGTATCCTTTTTTTTTTAAGTAATGAAATGATGTTAGAGTTTCATTTCATTATAAAATATTTAAATAATAAAATAATATGTTTATTTCATTTCATCATTATCCAATTCCATTCTGATCTCAATTTATTTCATTTCATTATCTATCAACGATCCAAACATAATATATAAAACTTTTTTAACTAATTCACTTATTAAAAAAATTAGTTTAATCATTAATATTAAACTTTTTAACTATTTGTAACATTATTTTAAAAAAAAATTATTCTTTATAAATGACTAATTTTTATTAAAAATTTAGAAGATTATTTTTAGTAAGATTTATCATTTCAATCACGTTTTTTCATATATAAATTTTGAATTCAAAATTTTACTCAAAATAATAACTTATTGATATTTAGGAGATAATTTGAAAATAGTCTCATAAAAAAGATTAAAAAAATATAGTAAAATTATATATATATATATATATATATGTGAGGGGGGTTATAATTACAATGGTATAAATTTTACTAAGTGTTACACCGCTCAATAACTTTATATTAAATGTGAATTTTGTAAATTCAACCGTTAAATTGAAAATCTTTTACTGTTAAATCATATATACAAAATGTTATATTAATCGAAGATGATTTCTTATAAAACAAAATTAAATTTGTCGAAAAATTTATATTTTCGATGAGAAATTTTTTGTAGGAAAAGCTATATTATTGATAGAATATTTCAGACAAATTTATATTTGTCGAAAATGTAAGATCTGGTTTTAAATTTGATATGAAAATATTATGATATAATTAGATAAGATTTTAAGTTAGTATTTTATTAATGGTTGATAATTAAAAAATAAAACATGGATAAATACATTATTTGAATTTTATATGTTTGATTTAAGATAACTTACAAAATAACTCTTGGTAAAGTTATTCCGCTCAATAACTCATGGTGTGT